TCTCTCTCCTAGCTTGTAGATGGCATCTTCTGCCTGGGTCTCCAGGTCATCTTTCCTCTGTGCATGTCTGTGTTCAAATTTCCTCTTCTTATTTTGTAGTTTAAAAAACATTTTTTTAAGAGATGGAGTCTTGTACTCCTGGCCTCAAGCTATCCTCGCACCTCACCATTCCAGAGTGTTGGGATTACAGGCCTGAGTCACCATGCCTAGCCCCAAATTTCCTCTTCTTAAAAGGAAACCAGTCATATTGGATTAGGGCCTACTCTAATTACCTCATTTTCATTAATTGCCTCTTTAAAGACTCTATCAACACGCGGTGGCTCACACTTGTAATCCCAGCACTTTGGGAGGCCGAGACGGACGGATCACGAGGTCAGGAGATCGAGACCATCCTGGCTAACACGATGAAACCCCGTCTCTACTAAAAATACAAACAATTATCAGGGCGTGGTGGCGGGCGCCTGTAGTCCCAGCTACCCGGGAGGCTGAGGCAGGAGAATGGCGTGAACCCGGGAGGCGGAGCTTGCAGTGAGCCCAGATCGCGCTGTGGCACTCCCACCTGGGCAACAGAGAGAGACTCCGTCTCAAACAAACAAACAAAACAAAAAGAAGACTCTGTAAACAATTACGGCTACATTCTGAGGTACTGGGGATTAGGACTTCATTTATTAGGGATGGGGAGGCACACAATTTAACCCTTAATAACTGCTTTCCTACATGGAGAACAGTCCACAGGAGTCAGAAATGGGTGACTCCCTTCTCTGGGCTAGGCCTAAGTTTGGTTATTTGATAATAAGCAATAAGGAAGACAAAAACAAAACAAAACAAAAACTAAGAATGAGGATATGTTAACGTTTAAACTGCTACATTTTCAAAAAATGTATTGCAAATAATTAAACATTTATGTCTTTTCCACAATGAGATTTTTCAGCTCTTTACTTGGGCAGATCTAAATTTTCCACCCTCTAGGAGGGTGAAAAAAGAGGGTCTTTCTACTGGGGCTACTACTTTAGACAGAGAGTGCTCATAATTCCCTATCTAAAGTTACTTCATGTTACTTCATCACTGCTTTCAAGACAGCAATGATGGTCAACTGCAAGTTGGCAGACATTTTAGACAAAAGACATATAGGGTGTCTGCAGGCATTATGTGACCTATAAGTTGCAATTTTTCAATAGTCTCTTTTGAAAAAGTTCATACAGACTTTAATCTGTCTTAATTTCAGTACGATACTCAATAGGCAGACTGCTATACATGCTGGTTTCTCACAGGAAAGGCAAAATTTAATTGTGTGGTGATGATATGGTGAAATTGCTTGATGCTCCCTCATAAAGAGAATTTGTCCAGGGTTCTCTAAGAACAAATTTCTATTTGCCTTTTATCCTAAAATTTGGAAACAAGAGGGAGAAAAACATTTTTTTTAGGTCTAGAATGACATCTTATTTGCATTATTAAAACAAAACAAATACAAATGGCTAGTTCTCATTTGTTTGTAGGTATTTTATTTGATGGTACAAAAGATCATGGAATCTATCCTTTCTACAGGGAAGGCCACCCACCACCACAAAGTTCATAGACTGACTCTCTCACTGATTCTCTAAGTGATATACTGAAAATACTCCCTTTCTCTGTCCATCAATTTTTTCACCCATAAAATAGGGATAGGATGATAGCAGCCTCAAAAGGTTATTGCAGGCCATCACCTTCATACATAGAATGGACTGAGAGTCCCAGTTGGAGGAGATGAAGTTTTTTCTCACAGTGAATGGTATATATTTTTCAATGTTTCTTAATTCCATTTTTTTTTTTTTGAGACGGAGTCTCATTCTGCCACCCAGGCTGGAGTGCAGTGGCACAATCTCGGCTCACTGCAACCTCCACCTCCTGGTTCAAGCGATTCTCCTGCCTCAGCCTCCCCAATAACTGGGATTACAGGCACCCACCACCACACCCACCACCACGCCTGGCTAATTTTTATATTTTTAGTAGATATAGATATTTTTAGATATAGATATATTTTAGTAGATATAGTGGTAGATATAGATAGTTCTGAAAAACAAACCAGAAGTGAAAGTTCTACCAAAGGAATTACCAAAGGTTTTGCCATGTTGGCCAGGCTAGTCTCGAACTCCTGACATCAGGTGATCTGCCTGCCTTGGCTTCCCAAAGTGCCAGGATTACAGGCATGAGCCATCGCGCCTGGCCAATTCCATCAAATTACAACAGAAAACTCAAAGTCATGCTTTGTGCCTTGTTAGAAGTCTATGCTCCATGGGTGTGACCACTGCCAAAGCACAACACCAGGACAGAAAGAAGCAACAATTGCATTAAAGGACATGAAGGTAGCTGAAAGAGAGAAGTATCCCTTAGAAAGGCAGGATGGTCTCCAGGGATTGGATCCAGCAAAAATAGATGACAGAATTACCAAAGGACAAAACTGGTAAAGCCATTTCATTGCAGATGTCACTTAGTTCTCTGATGGCTTGAGAAGGATCATCTTAATGTGAAAAGTGGTAGATATAGATAGTTCTGAAAAACAAGGCAGAAGTGAAAGTTCTTCTTTCTGAAGTGAAATATGTGATTGAACAGATGAGAGGTTTGATTAAAATGTCCCAGATGGTAAAGTGAATATATTTTGATGGTTCAATGTTAAGCTCTTTGGTGAGAAAAACATAGTCAGGCTGAATTGCCTAGCCTTCAAGAGATTTGATTCCAATATGATATGCACTTTTTAAGGTACTTGCTATTTCTTCTACCAATAAGGTAGTGCAATTAATGTCTGTATTTTTATTTTGGACTTCACAGACACTTGAACTATAAAAGTCATTCATTTGTTTAAATTTTGAAACATGATTTCTTGATCCAACAATACATTGTTTAATCTCTTCCTCTAGTTCTATGGCTAGGTATTTATTTATATTGAATTTAGCAACTTACTTCTTTGGTGATGATACACAACTGAACAAACATGGCAACTAATTTGCTAACTTACACATCATTAGTGAGAATTTGAATTATTATAGGAGAAATCCATCCCTGGACCAGAGAGTATGACAGCACTGATCTATATCATTTTATACAACTACATTTTGAAGATTTTAAGAATTGGAAGTCCTAGAATAATTTAGTTATTGATATTTTTAAAACATGTTAACAAATACTATACTATTGATTCTATTTTTAGTAATTATTTTCAGTAATGGTATGCCAGACATCTCAGATCAACCCTTATGTTTAAAACAACTAGAAAACAATCTGACTGGAACTGTAGGAGAGGGAAGACTCCCTCTGCCCTCTGAGGGTTTGATAATTAAGTGTATGAAATAAATTGACAGCAGGCAGATTAATAAGAGAAAGACACAAAAATTTATTTTGTGGCCGGGCGTGGTGGCTCACACCTGTAATCCCAGCACTTTTGGAGGCCGAGTGGGCGGATCACGAGGTCAGGAGATCAAGACCATCCTGGCTAACACAGTGAAATCCCGTCTCTACTGAAAATACAAAAAAAATTAGCCGGCGTGGAGGCTGGCGCCTGTAGTCCCAGCGACTCGGTAGGCTGAGGCAGGAGAATGGCGTGAACCCAGGATCGCGCCACTGTACTCCAACCTGGGAGACAGAGCAAGACTCTGTCTCAAAAAAAAAAAAAAAGAATGTATTTTGTTCATGGAGGTATCATATGAAAAAGAAGTGAATGCCCCCAAATCCAGTGAGATCTAGAAGTTTATATACTCTCTTCATAGGGAAGACAGGAAGGGGGATGTAGGCAATGTAGGGGAAAGGAAATTATTTTTGGAAAAGATGAATGGTCCCTCCAAAGAATAGGTGACTGCATAGTATCAACTTCCAGTCTCCTCTCCCGTGATACAAGTTAATCTTCCCTGGGTGATGAGATTGATGGGGAGGGGACTGATGACACTCTAGTTCCTTTTGGAGGGATTGTCTATAGGCAAATATGGGGAATTCACAGAAAACCCCACCTTGCATTTGCTGTTCCCTAAGTGCCCCCAGTGACATATTTTGAGGTGGCATTTTGTGAACTTCTTCAAAACTGTCAGGCAGCTATCAAGACAAGGAAGAACTACAGAGCAATAATCTGAAAAGGAAGAAAACCCAGAGTATTTTGCAGCTGTGAAATAATAAAGGAGGAAAATCTCCACATATTATAAATGATCTTTAAGATATATATGTGAAATAGGCAAGATAGAGAAAATTGTTATGTAGCACATTATTGTTTATCTAATAGAAGGGTGTTAAGAATACAAACATATATGCCTATAATAAACAACAGAAGGATACATCATAACATTTACAACTATTACTCTAAGGTGAGAGAGGCTATTAGGATGAAGGAGAAACATTTCTTTGGATATAATTTGATTTGACCTTGGGACTATGTAAAAATATTTTATTTAATGGTAGAACCAAATATTTAAAAATCCAATCCCTAGACATCAACAGCAAAATGAATTAAATGGATTTGTATATCTATATCATAACATAAGCGTGCAGGAAGGGATACTCCAAATACTTTGAAAAATACTCATTTGAACATAAATGAACATTACTAGTGTGGTATATACCCTAAGGCAGCAGTTCTTGAACCTTCTGGTCTCATGACCCGCTTATACTCTTAAAAAGTAATGAAGTGATGCAGTTGACAATTTGAGAATGCCTTGGGAATTAGAGTTTGGATGCCAGCAATGACAGTCATTAAAATGAAATATGCTCTCCTGAAATAACATTTCAGTGAACAAAGCACCAAGGAGTTTTCCAGGGAGCTCTCTTTTGAACCTTGATCTATAGCACGTTAGGTGGTGGAGCTTTAGGATCCAAAGAATTTGTGTTTCTGTAGGTTATAACTATTGACATTTACCATATTATAGAGTACAACAAGAAAATTGGTTAATTCCTTTAAAAATAATAATAAACCCATTTTATGTTAGCATACATATTTTATGAAAAATAGCTATATTTTTAAAATAAAAAGAAGAGTGACACTGTTTTACATTTTTGCAAATCTCTCTGTCTTGTTTAATAAAAGACAGCTGAATTCTTGTTTCTGCATTCAATCTCTTGCAATATAAATGTCATCTGAAAATAATAATGAAAAAGAAAAATAAGTGTCAGAATTATTATGAAATAATATTAGCCCACAGACCCACTAAAAGGGTCTCAAGGGTCCCCAGATCACATTTTGAAAATCACTGCAATTGTTGCCATTATAGAAATCACTGTCCTTAGGACAAAAAAATAAAGCAAACATTTTTAAAAAATTATGTTCTTAGTAACAATATTGTTGGTGACACTGGTGCGGATGACTATGGCAGAAGCTGATACAAATGATAATTTGAGAATGCCTTGGGAATTAGTGTTTGGATTCCCAGCAATGACAGCCATTAAGATGAAATATGCTCTCCTGAAACAACATTTCAGTGAACAAAGCACCAAGGAGTTTTCCAGGGAGCTCTCTTTTGAACCTTGATCTATAGCTTGGTAGGAGGTGGAGTTTTCCCCAACGTAAATACAACAGAATATTACAAACAGAAGGATGGGACCCTCCTGGAGAGCATGATGCTCATCTCAGGGATGTAGGGCACAATGACCTAGGAGAAGACAAATCCTAGACCACAGTGTAAGCTTCTTATTCAGCTCATCATAGTGTTTGTTCCGATTGATTATCGTCATGGATTCCTGGCATTTTACATGCTGAATCTATTCCAATTGACAACTGTAATTGTTCTGTTTAATTAAAATTCTCGAGTTAGCAATACTAATTCTTAGTGGGGATTCTTTCAGGCTTTGTTGCCTCGCTCCTGCCCTAACTTACTGTCTATTGCTTCTCCAGACATCTGAGATTATCCTCACCTCCTGTCAGCATGATGTCCTACACTCATTAGGATTTCCTATTCCCCAAAACTTGTAATTGGATCCTCTTCAAGAACTTTGGGTTCTTGACTAGAAACTAAAAATCTCTGGCCGGGCGCGGTGGCTCAAGCCTGTAATCCCAGCACTTTGGGAGGCCGAGACGGGCGAATCACGAGGTCAGCAGATCGAGACCATCCTGGCTAACACGGTGAAACCCCGTCTCTACCAAAAAATACAAAAAACTAGACCGGGCGAAGTGGCGGGCGCCTGTAGTCCCAGCTACTCGGGGGCTGAGGCAGAGAATGGCTAACCCGGGAGGCGGAGCTTGCAGTGAGCTGAGATCTGACCACTGACTCCAGCCTGGGCGACAGAGCGAGACTCCGTCTCAAAAAAAAAAAATTTAAAAAAAAAAAAAAAGAAAACAAAATCTCTAGACCAGTACGTTTACGTTAGATTGTTTTCTGTGTGCACTGATGCACCTGGTTGACTTCTGGGACTTTTAGATGATTTTTTAGTGACAGATTTAAAACACTGACATTTTTTGCTTTTATTTCCTCCTCTCTCACATATCAAAGAACAGTGTTTTTAAAGGATGAGTGCATGTTACTCCTTTCACTGAATGTCCTTTATCCTTCCTAAAAAGTTTTCCTTTTTAAAACTAACTCACTTTTCTTCCCGATCTAAAAGCTTCATTCTTCTCTGTCACAAAAAAAATTCCTTTACCAAGGTTAATTTACTATATTATGGGTTGTTAATTTAAATAATGTGTTTAAAGAACAATATTGTTTAAAATTTTAGAAAGCACAACAATGGACTTTTATCCACATATTATTAAAGTCACAGTAGAGACTTTAACATTCTACATTGAGCATTTAGGACAATTAATGTACTCCACAGCTAATAAATGTATGTAGTTACTGTGTGTGGTTTTTTTTTTTTTTGTACTTTAGAGTTCTAAATGATGCCTCCCAGTTTTTATTATGTGTATAGCAGTTGTTTGAAAAGAAAATGAAATGGAATTTTAATTTTCTAACACTCTTACTCCAAGAGAACAACAAAATTACAAAGGTATCATTGATGTCCAGTTTATTATTATTCCATTAACTCCATTAAATATAATATGAATAATATATTGAGTGTATGTATGTATAAAGTGTCATTTGGCTCATGGAATATGTAGCTAAAGCATCAAAAGATTGGACCTATCTATATTCTCCATCTCACTGCTGAGATGAGCTTCATAAGCACACAATAATGTGGCCAAATATAAATATCTTAATAAACACAGAATTTCTTGATATTCTATAGTTTATTTTCAAGATGTCAATTTAAAATGTTGGAAAAAATAATTAAATTATGATCAAGCTACAATGCATTAAAATTAATATCTAGAATTACTTTTAAAGTCCAGTGTCAATGTTGTCTCCAAAATTTTAGTGCAATTATTTATATAGTTCAATATTCTTGAAACACCATTTCACAAGAACCAACTAGTAAATGATAGTAGTATACTTGGGTTATAATGTATTTTAGGCGCAACTCCATATATATTCACATTACATGTACAAACTTCTAATATTAATTAAGGTAACTGAGATGTAAATTTACAGGGTTTTTTTTTCTTTGAAAAGTGCAGACACTTTAGAAGTTATCATTACAGGACCTCCTAGTTCTATGTAAAACTTGAATTTTTGCATTAATAGGTGATGCCTATACTCTCAGTTTTATATTCTGTATTAATTCTACTATTAAAGCAAGCATGATATAAAACATAGCCTTAAGAAATTAAAACACACACAAAAAAAATCCCTTAATTTATTAATGGATACTTTTCTTCATTCTAAGCAGCTGAAGAAATCCTCTGGCAAATAGTTTGTATCGATGTTTTAGTATAATATATTAAACTAAAATTATTATTTTTAAAGTAGTGTCTAACATAATATGGCTTCCAGAAAGATACAGGCCATACCTATTTAGCTTTGAATGCTAGGCTTTAAGCAAAAATTCAAAATTTCTCTCTTTTCCATATCTCAAGATCACAGCCTAAGAGACTTTTAATGGGCAACCACTAGCTTATATCTTGGGAATACTGCAAATTAAACAAATTAGGTCACCTATATGTATCTTCACATGCAATTTGAACAAAAGGGAAATACAGCAGTAAGTGGTTAATTGGCCAAATAGTGTATGTTTTTGTTCTTCAGTAACAAGATGTTTTCCTGAAGTTTAGTAGCTAAATAGATAAGAAATACATAAACAACCTTATATTGGTTTTTTTTTTTTTTTTTTTTTTAAGACGGAGTTTCGCTCATGTTGCCCAGGCTGGAGTGCAATGGCGTGATCTCGGCTCACTGCAACCTCCGCCTCCCGGGTTCAAGTGATTCTCCTGCCTCAGCCTCCTGACTAGCTGGGATTACAGGTATGTGCCACCAAGTCCGGCTAATTCTGTATTTTTAGTAGAGATGGAGTTTCTCCGTGTCAGTCAGGCTGGTGTCAAACTCCCGACCTCAGGTGATCCGCCCGCCTTGGCCCTCCAAAGTGCTGCAATGACAGGTGTGAGCCACCATGCCCAGCCTATATTGCCTTTTAATTCTTGTTTTTACAATGATGGCAATCCATAATGTTATTTAATTGTTGTTTAATCCTTTCATAAGAATGTTATTCTAGTTTTTTTGGTAATTAAAAAGACAGGTCTGGAAACTTCCATAGACTTACCTATTGTTATTGTTTTGATTTCATATCACTTTTAAAGATTGTGTACTTTGTTTTGTTTTTGTTTTGTTTTAAGTAACATGGTCCCATTGGTCGCCCAGGTTGGAATGCAGTGGGGCCATCCTAGCTCACTGCAGTCTTGAACTTCTGGGCTCAAGCTATCTTCCTACTCCAGCCTCCCAAGTAGCTGGGACTATACACATGAGGCACCTCTCCTAGCTTCACTTTCAAAGGTTTTAAAATCTAATCTTTCTCTGGTTTTAGCTTGCTTAATACAAAATTCAGTTATGTTCTATAGGAAAAATTTCCTCTACTTTGGGATCTTGGCAGTGATCCTCCTAGAAATGGTGATGGGCAAACAAAAGGCTTTTGATTTTGTTGAAATGTGTTTGATAGGCTACATTAAAGCCACAGCACAAAGAAACCTCATAGAGCAAAGGAATAAAGAAATTATTGATGAAACTGTGAATCCTGGAAGGAAACTCAAAGATCATCTTACTAAACCCTACCTTTATTTACATTTGAAGGAATGGAAACCAAGAAGTATTTGTGAAAAGCATGCTGTCACACCAGAACCCAGATCTCTGGGATTCCTGTCCAATGTGTGTGTGTGTGTGTGTGTGTGTGAGAGAGAGAGAGAGAGAGTGTGTGTGTGTAGGAGAAAATGCAGGAGGAGGGGAAGGAGAAAAGGAGAGAGAAAGCACAATTCTCTCATTCAGCACATATGTATTGAATGCCTACTATATGTCAGGGATACACCAATAAATGATATGGATTGTAACACATATTTACTTTTGTAAATGAGCAATTCTATTATAAAATATAAATATGCTTTTAGTTAGTAAAATGTAGGCAAAAACACTTAAGATGTTTTAAGTAGACATAACTAGTTAGTAAATAGAGAATATGTTGTTAAATATAGATATAAGGGATGGAAGGGTCAAAAGATACCTAATGTTCATGAGGCACAAAATATACAAAAGGAGCCACACATTCAGAATTCACAGATATATGAGACATCGAAGCACTGACTCATTATTCATGAGGCCTTGAGTCAGCCACACATTGGAGACACTATAAGTTCTCTACTTCAGAAACAAAAATAAAATCCACGGCTATTCAACCAACTAATTGGTTGGGACCAGGCATATATATCTCTGTGTCTGTCCTACAGGTTGATTCAACGATGTAAGAGATGATTCAACAATGTAAGAGAGCTCAGATATATGGAAATTGCTCACACTTGATTCAGATAGTGCAGTTCTTCCAATTCACTTACACACTAAACTGTTAACTTGCTCTTCTTTTCCCCTTGCTGTTTGCTATGTTTTTTAATGAAGCTGTGATTTGAGCATTTTACTGCATAGTCTGCAATCCTATTTGTGCTGTGTCCTCTGGGAGAGCTTGCATGGGACTGTACTTGGAGCCTACCAGGGCATCAAGGTAATTTCTCACATGGTACCAATAAGGACCCTCTATCATAACAAAAATGTAGAAAAGTCACCTTTAGATGG